CACCTGTAGTCCCAATTATTTGGGAAGCTGAAGCAAGAGAATCACTTAAGCCCAAGAGTTGAAGGTTGCTGTAAGCTGTAACACCATTGCACTCTACTGAGGGTGACATAGTGAGACTCTGCCTCAAAAAAAAAAAAAAAAGACTGCCAAGTAATTGAAATGTATGAGCCCTAATTGATTGAGATGTGCCATAAATATACTACATACACTATATTTCAAAGTATTCGTATGGAAAAAGAATGTAAAATCTCATTAATAATATTTGTATTGATTGTATGTTGAAATATTATGAATATATTGGGTTATAGGAAATATATTTTTAAAATTAATTTCACATTTTCCTTTTTAAAAATATGACTACTATAAATTTTGAATTACACATGTGGTTCACATTTGCACTGGATAGAGCTGAGCTCAACAACCAAGCATCTCCACAATGAGGTTTCCCACAGCCTTTGCAAATTTCTCAATTCTTTCCATTCTAAATAGACCTCTATCTCTAAAGTCCCTTAGTTTTAAGCTACTGAAGGGCAGAGATTGTGTCTATTCACTGTTATAGCCCCCAGAATCCAGCACATACCAAATGGCATAAATATTTGATTGTTGAAAGGCAATTTGCTAAGGAAAGAAGGAGGGCAGGAGAAATAAACCCACTCGCCTGTGTCTTTTTTTTTTTTGAGATAGAGCCTCAAGCTGTCCCCCTTGGGTAGAGTGTTGTGGCATCACAGCTCACAGCAACCTCCAACTCCTGGGCTCAAGCGAGTCTCCTGCCTCCGCCTCCCAAGTAGCTGGGACCACAGGTACCCGCCACATTTCTTGGCTATTTTTTGGTTGCAGCCATCATTGTTGTTTCCGTGGGCCTGGACTGGATTTGAACCCGCCACCTTGGGTGTATGTGGCTGGTGCCTTAGACGCTTGAGCCACAGGCGCCGAGCCTCACCTATGTCTTTGCTTACATTACAACTCCTTCCTGCAATGAAACTTTACTTTTCTCAATCACTCTCATTCTTCAAAGCCCCATCTCAGTGCCACTTACACAAGTTCATGCTGACCTTTCCTCCTCGGTTCTACCACAGCCTTCATCGTCCGTTTCATTTGCTTTGGCCGGTAATCATCAATGTTCCCTGAGGCAGAGCCTGGCTCTCCTATTTTTCCTATATCTTCCACAGTGCCCAGCATATTGCTAAAAGTCTTAGTTGAGTAGTGAAAGAAAAGGGCAGCAACTGGGTTGGCAATGTCTAGCAGAAAGAAAGAAAAGGAAGAAAGGAAAAGAGAGAAGAAAAGGGCAGCAAAGTGCTAGAAAAAGGGAAAGACTGGAAGTGGGAGAACTTTGGCTCTAGTCTCTGTAACTGTGTTGCCTTAGATACCATCTAATCTCTGTCAGTTTCTACTTCCTCATTTTAAAAATCACAGACCTGATGACCATAAAATCAATTCTAGAATAATAATTACATGTAATCCAGAATTATATATAATTTTTCTAGAATTCAATAATTCTAGAATAATTATATCCATTTTTAGCAATATATTAATATTTTCCAGCAAGGAAAAGGAAATATACTACTATTAAATCCCATTAAGTTCCCTAAGAAAGAAATGCCAACAAAGTTTACAAATTGTCCAATTTTAAATGCTGATCATCTTTCTGGACATCGAGCACTTTAAATTGATGTTTTTCTTCAAAGAACTATTAAGTAAAATATGCAATACATACATACTGGAACCACCTTATTTTGTTGGCTGTATGGGGATTTTTGACAGGCCCTTTCAAACGTGGAAGAAACATCCTCTATTAAGCTAACGAAAAAGAAGAAGGAAGGGGGAGCAGGAGAACCAGAAAACAAATTTCTATGATGTACCCTGGCACTAGACTGGTGATGCTCAAAGACTATGCGTTATCGTTGATTATAATCATGTTGTCTGTCTCTTCATCCAAAAACACTATTAAAAAGACACTATTCAGGAGAAAATTACAGTAGCTAAAATGAAAAGGTCATCTTAAAACAGAACGTTAAAGGAATAGGATATAATTTAAAGCCTGGAGACCATTTCAAACAAATCTCTAAATCAGAAACTATACAGTAAATTAAAATGGTTGCCATGTTACCTCAAAGGTTCAAGTTATGCTTGTTAGTAAATACCACCTGTAGAGTTAAGAAAGCATTTATTATAGGTTCTAAGGGAGTAATACAAATCACCAGATTTCTTTGAAACTTTTATCAAAATATCCCTACTAAATATTGAGCATGTGTTGAGCACCACCAACCCACCTATAAGATAAAAGCTCAACTCCTTCAAAGGGACTCTAGATCCTCCCATAATTTGGTCGTTAGCTATGCCTGATACCTTCATCTCCCACCAATCCCTGCATATCACCTCACTTCCTAAATTTAATTGTTCACACTCCCCCTCAGATCACTTGCTTCACTTACGACTCTGTGCCTTTACATTTGCTATTCCCTCTGTCTGACGTGCCCTTCCCTCTTCTGAGCTGTGTACATCCTCTCCTCCCTAAAACTTTCCCTGACTACCCTAACAGCATGACACCAAGTGGCTCCCAGAGCACTCTTCATTAATAGCACTACAGTTACTTTTTAAATAACCACCCCAACTAGGCTCTGAGTTCTTAAGGGAGAACCCACATCTTATTAAACTGTTTTCCAGCCCCTAGTATAAATGCCTGGCATTTACTGAAATTCAACATAAGTACACTGAATAAAAAGAAAGTTCAGTAGTTAACTAGGAGAAATATTTCAAACTTTCCTACTAAAAAGTGAATCCACTTAACACAGTGGTTCTTAACCAGAGGCAATTTGCCCCTAGGGCACATTTCGTCAATTCTGGAGATATTTTTGGTCTTCAAAACAAGGGGATTTCGGTGAATTGCTGCCAGCTTCTAGCAGGCAGATAGATGCAGGAATACTGCTAAACATCCTATAATGCACAGGCAGCCCCCTACAACAAAGAATTATCTGGTCACAAATGTCAGTAGAGCCTGGGTTCAGAAACTCAGTTGTCAAGCGACTTACTCAGATGTGATGATTTGATATTACATCTCATCAATAACCACAATGAATTCCAATTTTGTAGTTTGGGCTGAAGCTTTTGTAACAGTTGACGCATATGCACCAACACTAAAAACGATCTTTATATAATCTCCATGCTTAATAACATTAAACCAAGAGTAGCAGAAAGCATCCTACATTTCTAAAAACTAATCTATAAATCTACAATGATCAGAAGCTATTCCTAAGTCAGTCAACACTTTGGTTTTTGTTTTGTGTTGTTTTTTGAGACAGAGTGCCTGGCATCTTCGCTCACAGCAACCTCAAACTCTTGGGTTCAAGAGATCCTCTTGCCTCAGCCTCCCAAGCATCTGGGACTACAGGGGCCCCCACAACACCCAGCTATTTTTTAGAGACAGCGTCTCACTCTGGCTCAGACTGGTCTGGAACTTGCAAGCTCAGGCAATCCACCTGCCTTGGCCTCCCAAGTGCTAGGATTACAGGCGTGAGCCACCGCTCCCGGCAACACTTTGGTTTGTTTGTTTTTGCTATAAACTTTAAAGGAAACCACAGGCAAATTAATTTTCACTTGTGGAACTATGACAGAAACACCATCTGAAATGCGATGTAATCAGTTCCTCCAGATCTGAAAAAAGAAAAATCTCTTAAGTACCACAAGTAAATCAACCACAGATGCTTTTGACTGTTGAAAAAAACCGAGTGATGGGGAGAGTAAAGGGCATGCCACTGCTACTGCCAAAATCATCCAAGATTTCAAAACCCTGACAAAAAAAAACCACTGGAAAATATAATCAAATGTCAACACAAGGTGTCAGATAAAGAAGTTAAGTGACAGATCATCAAGTTTCACAGGACTTCAATATTTCACCAGAAAGCTAGGAGAAGCAGAAACACTTCCTTTCTATATACTGGATGACTCAACTATCTTTGACACATTCTTTGGCTGCACACTACAAGTTCACTAATTTCTTTTGTCCTTTGAACTAGTTATCCTACTCCCTTGATAAAGAACTGATGGGTTTGGCACTTACTTTCAAACATTTACATTTTGTTAAATACTCCATCCACCTCCAGAAGAAAAAAAAAGCTATACAAAACAAAAACTTAAGTACAGTAACTCTTATAGGAAAAGAGATTTTAATGGTATTCCAAGAACGCATTGCTGAATGACACACTCAGTTATCCAATACTCTTTATGTTTCAAGGCTTTCCAGATTTCAAGCAGAGATAACACTGGCAGAAAATGACTAAGTGTATACCATTTAATAAAGCTTACTGTGAATTTATTTTTGGACAGCTAAAATAAGGTACTAGGCCTTGGAGGGGAAACGCATTTTTAATTAAAAAAAAAAAGTTTCCAACAGTGAGTAATATCTTCCTTCACAGCTAGCTGACTTTACCAGTTAAGTGTCAGCCCCGCGAGTGGGCCCCACACTAAGCTGGGTCTCACCACATTACGCTCCAGTGTGAGTCCAGGAGAGAAAGGGAAGCCGTGTGTGACAGGTGTCAAGTTGGGGGGCACAGTGGGCGGGGAGGGTGTGTAAGGGAGAAGCCAAGGCAGCTGCCCGCAATCTCCCCCAGGGCGTTTGGCTGGCCGGCCGGTCCATCCGCACCAACTCTCCATTTTCATTCCCATTCCGGGATCCCGGGAAGAACGCTCCGGCGCCACACCCTCCAGCTCGCAGCAGGCTGGTGCTGACAGCCCGGCGCCCCAGCGGACGCCGGGCCTCGGCGCGCAAGGCCACCGCGGCTCCGGCCCGTCGCCCCGCCCGTCCCCGCGGCCCGCCCCAGGGCCGGACAACCGCGGCCTAAGAGCCCGCCTGGTTGCGGGGCCTAGAGAAGGAAGGAGCCCGCACTGAGGAGGGGGCGCCCGCGCAGCCACCGCGGCAGCTCAGCCCGGCGGCGGCGGCGGCGGCGCCCGCGTCCCGGGGCTCGGGCTCACGTGCTGGCGGAAAGACGGTTTCCTTCTCTTACCCTCTGCAAAATCCTCCTTAACATGGTTTAAACGCCACCCGGCGCCGCCGCGCTGACTCTCCGGACCCTACGCGGAGCCGCTCACCACTCGGGGGTGCGCAGACGGGAGGGGTGGGCCGGGAGGTCGGGGCGAGGCAGTGGCGGCGGCTGCTCGGGTGGCCCCGACTTCCCCACAGGCGGCGAGAGGCAGAGCGCTGGAGCGAGCGAGCGACGAGGTATCCCGAGAGCGCCAGCCCGCCCGCCGGGCCGCCCCCGTAACTGACAGCTGGGCGGGCCCGCGGCCGCCGAGGGGCGGTGCCGCTGTCGCCCCGCCCCCGGTCTGTCCATCTGCGGGAGGCGGGGCTCAGAGAGGGCCGGTCCGGGCCTGCGACCAATCGGAAACGGCGGCAGCGAGGGCAACTGCGTGACGGACAGGCGGCAGGACGCTGGCGCCGCCACTCCTTCCGGCTGGCTGGGGGACGCCGCGGCCGCAGAACGCACGCCCGCGCTCCGTCAGAGGGCTGCGCCAGCGTACCGACCGCGTGCTCGCTAGGGGCGGGGACCCCCGGGACCTGGCCTGGGAGGGGTCCCTGACCCGGGTAGCAGGAGGAGGCGCCGCGCGGGTACTTGTAATAGCCCCTCAGGCTGTCTTGTAAATTTGTCCCTGTGATCCTTCCCGTGACTGCTCCTGGCTCTGGAGTCAAGCCTGAGCTGGATCCTCATTTCTGCAGGAAACGCCTGACTCTATAGCTTAGTCCTGGGTCCAAGCGAGCTAGAGAATCGCAAGCGTGCTTAACCGGTCTGTTGGGCTTCCCTCCCCTTTTCCAACCCCTGTGTACTTGCTTGCTCCCTTCTTGCTTCTAATTTCAGCCAAAGAGAAAGTAAAGAATCAAAAAGAGAGGAGGGAAAAGCTGGAACTTGAGTTGGCAAGAGAAGTTTGAGGTTGTCCTTTATGGATCATAACCATATTTAATGGACTGATACCATTAACGTGCTGCCCATGCGTGGCCTATTCGCATAAGAAATTTTAAGTCCAATTCTGATAAAAGATACATGAAGCAAGTTATCATTAATGCCTCTGTTTTAGCGATTAAGAAAAAGAATGAGGTCACATATAAACTTTGTGCCAAAACAAGACGTGGACTTGGAACTGACCTCTGGGCACAATGTCATTGTTTAACTAGAAAATCACAGCTCCTGATGCCTACCATTCTGCCAATATTCACAAGCCAAGAGGCTCAACTTTCACACTGGAAGGAAAAGAGAAGCCTTTAATTTTGCTTAAGTAGGAAAGGAGAGGAAATAATGGAATTAATGGTGCTGAGAGAGGGAAAAAACAAACTAAGTAATGAATGGACTCTATGAAGCCGCGAATGGAGTGCTTATTAGAAAGTACTTCCAGATCTTTTGAAAAAATATAGCAAATTAAATATCATTTACAAATGAGTTAAGGGAAGTGAAAGTGTTTGTTAAGCATAATGCGTTATGTAACGTAATATGATATTCCTATCCCAAACATGTTTTGTGTGTGTGTTATGTCTATGGTCAGCAGAACAGTTATGCCTACAACTAATACATTATTAAACACTATTGATAATACACTTACAAAGCACACACTTTATGTTCAGATAATCGGGAAAACACTTCTGTGACATTGACTAATAAAAGTGATTTATTTTCTCTTTTCCCCCCCCCCCAGAAATTCATTTAAAACCGCTTATTGGGGTTAACATACCAAGACATTCTCTACTGGAATTCTCCTGTAGAATCTTTTAACTAATAGTATAATAGGCTTTCATCTACTGCTTAGCTACAAGGATTAGTCAAAAGTCTGTGTACTTCCCTGCAGTTTATGACTCCATCACAGGAATAATAACACTAGAGAAGTTACTCAAAAGAGAAAATCAGCAATGGGTAGACATGATCATCTAAGTATATCCTTCACTAATCTAACAGGTTCCCATACACAACGGTTCTGCTTACTCGACCTGACCCCTAATTTCCTATCTAATCACCTCTGGTACCTCAGTAACCCACACCATCAATCCTTTAACACCCCTCCTCCCAACAAGACCTCCAATCCATTGGCCCCTCTTCCTCTCAGTCATTTCCCTAGCCTGCTCCTTTTCATTAAAGCCCAGCCTAAAGCCCATGGTTTAACTTTACAGTAAGCCTTTTGCAAATATGCCTACTTTCTTCACCTCTCTCTTCCTCCATTGTTTTCATCTAGCAGAGCCTGGTTAAACACGATTGTCCATTTAGTCTGTGCTGCATAGGAGCAGCTGAATATCACTAGAGATGCATATATACTATAACTGCGATCATTGGGTTCATTTTGCAGTAAAAGCCATGGATCTCAGATAGGCCCCCTACCCTGGCAGCATTCCTGTTACACTTTCCTCCTGTCTTTCTCTAGACCTCCAAGATGCTCTACATCTATAGTTGCTGTACTATCTTACCCACATATTCTCAACCAATTCCAATCAAGCCTCTGTCCCACCTATTCTGATGAGGCAGCTCTTGGCAAGATCACTAATGACCTGCATGTTGCCCAATTGAGTGTCAAATTTATTGCTTTGATTTTCACTCTCCTATATTCAAAAGAGTTGACCACTCTCTCTTTGAGTCAGTTTATTCTCTTGACTTCCTTCACATTATACTTTCTGGTTTTTTCTCTTTGATGATCATTCCTTCTCGGATTTGTTTGATGACTTCTATGTTAATGTTGGATAATACCCCCTATTCTGTTCTACGGACCTTGCTTTTATCTATCACATAGAGCCAACAAGTTATCTTAACCAACTTCCTGACTAAATATCGTCTATTTGACCATGACCCTGGAATCTATATCTTTAGCCCTGACCTCTCCCCAGATTTCCAAACTTTTACATAATGATCTACTTCACATTTCTTAGACGTCTAAGGAGTATGTAAACTTAACATGGGGGCTAGTTCTGGTGGCTCGTGCCTATAATTCTAGCACTCCAGGAGGCTGAGACCAGTGGATTGCCAGAGCTCACAGGTTCGAGACCAGCCCAAGCAAGAGCAAGACCCTGTCTCTAAAAATAGCCAGGCATTGTGGTAGGTGCCAGACATTGAGTCCCAGCTATTTGGAAAGCTAAAGCAAGAGAATCGCTTGAGCCCAAGAGTTTGAGATTGCTGTGAGCTGTGACGCCAGAACACTCTACTGAGAGTGACAAGTGAGACTCTGTCTCAATAAATAAATAAATAAACTTAAATTAACTTGGCCACAACACAAGTATTTCATTTTCTTTTTGAATTTTTTTATTTTTTATTTTTGCTTTCAATTTCTGCTGGCTTTCACTTTATCTTAGTTTTTTGATTTTTGGTTTTTGGTTTTTGTTTTTACTTCTTCACCCTGTAGTGATTCTCTTGCCCCCCATGTAGCTGGGATTACTGACGCTAGCCACAATGTACGGCTGGATTTTTTTAGGTTTTTTTTTTTTTTTTTTTTTTTTTTGTAGAGATGGGTCTCACTCTGGCTCACTCTGCCTCATGCTGGTCTTCCCCAGTCTCAAACTCGGCTGAGCTCAGGAGATCCACCTGCCTCAACCTCCCACAGCACTGGGACAACAGGCGTGAGCCACCAGGCCCAGCCAAAGTATTTCATTTTTGTCTTCAAAATTTCTTTGCCAGTTTTCCTGTTTCAGTGTATACATCTTCCACTTAGTTGGTACAAACCAAAAACCTTGGATTGCTCTCTTTGTTTTACCATTTCTCCTTCCTCCAGCCAATCTATCCTCACACATTTATTTCCAAAATATGTCCCAAATTTGCCGCTTCTCTCCATTATTACCCTAGGCCCTAGGACCTTCACCTCCTGTCCAGACCTCTGTAATAGACTCCTGGTTGGTCTCCCTTCTTGTACTGTGGTTTCCCTACTCACTACACAGCAGCTAAGAACAACTTTTAAAAATGCAAATTAAATATTGTCACTGTCCTGCCTGGTGATAGTTTCCTATCACAATCCCAGTGAAATCCAAACTTTATCCTGGCTTACACGACCTGCTGATCTGGACTGACTGCTCTCTACCTCCTCCCCTTGACTCACTATGCCTCAGCCACCTGGGACTTTCAATTCTTTTTTTTTTTTTTTTGAGACAGAGCCTCAAGCTATCCCCCTGGGTAGAGTGCCATGGCATCACAGCTCACAGCAACCTCCAACTCCTGGGCTCAAGCGAGTCTCCTGCCTCAGCCTCCCAAGTAGCTGGGACTACAGGCGCCCACCACAATGCCTGGCCATTCTTTGGTTGCAGCCATCATTGTTGTTTGGCAGGCCTGGGCTGGGGATTCGAACCCGCCACCTTAGGTGTATGTGGCTGGCGCCTTAGCCGCTTGAGCCACAGGCGCCGAGCCGGGACTTTCAATTCTTAATTGCACAAAACTGACTCCTGCCTTTACACCAACCAGTTCCTATTTAGGAAATTCTTTCCTCTGAAATACTATGGTTAATTTTGTGGAAGATTATTCTTTTTTTTTTTTCTTAGAGACAGAGTCTTATTTTGTCGCCCTTGGTAGAATGCAGCTCACAGCAACCTTCAACTCCTGGGCTTAGGCCATTCTCTTGCCTCAGCCTCCCGAGTAGCTGGGACTACAGGCGTCCATCACAATGCCCGGCTACTTTTTTGTTGCAGTTTGGCCAGGGCCAGGTTTGAACTTGCCAAGGTTGGTATTTGGGGCCGGTGCCCTACTCACTGAGCCACAGGTGCTGCCCAGAAGATTATTCTTTTAAAGTGACCTCCTCAGAAAGATCTTCAAGGGCCACCTCATCTAAAGTACTTCCAGTCATTATCACATCACCCATTCTAATTCTCTGCATGACAAAGGAACTACCATTTCTGATGATTCTTGTTTGTCTCCCCAAAAGGAATTTCCATTCTCTGAACACAAGGATCTTGTCTCACCTTCAGTGCTATATCCCCCCAAAATCAAAACAGTGCTGAACTCACAGCAAGCACATAATAAATACATGTTGAATGAATTAAGGGAGGAATGAATGAGTGAAAAATATATAATTATTGTTATAATAGTTGCCTTCCCAGATTCTTCAAGCTAATATCTTTCGATTTGTGAAGATGTGAACCAACTATTGAAAGTAATCCAATAATCATTTCATCCTGATAATCTTTTTATATGTATACATATAATATGCATGCTTGTTTCTTGGCTCTTCAAAATTTCCCGATACTGGCTTGGCGCCTGTGGCTCAAGTGGCTAGGGCGCCAGCCACATACACCTAAGGTGGCGGGTTCAAATCCAGCCTGG